CGCCGACGCCGACGCCGACGCCGACGCCGACGCCGACGTCAGGCGTTTCGATCGCAACGCGACTCTCGCGCGGTCAGTCGCGTTAAAAATTGTCCTTGCCGAGTTAAAAAGGAACCTCTTGCAATTTCTGCAAATAGCCAGTGAAGCTCTTTTACAAAATAAGTGCTGCGAAACAACACACCGAATCGTAATTACTTACGCAATTATAAATATTATTAATAAGTACTAGTGTACTGTAGCAATAAAACTCAAACACACAAAATAGATTTTCAAAAGGGAGCACAAACGCTACTAAAGAAGAACAAGAAAATACATTCGAACAGCACTGCCATACATTCAATATTTTAATAAAAACACAAACATCTTTATTAACATTGTAATAACATGTGCTATATATAGAGCACAGATCTTTCTCAGTGAGAATCAAACCGTCATCTACCTTAAAAAAGTGAATTATTTTCTGTAAAACAGTATTTTTCAATGTGTAATTTTTCGAAGAAGGTTCTCAAAGAAATTTCGATAGTTCTCGTTGATTAATTGAAATACGAATCAAGAATGAACAATTTCATTTATTATACACTTACAATTATACACCTACATTTATTATACATTTACAATATGAATACTTTTACTAGTGAGTAGCGAAATAAAAGACAACTTTGGGGCAATCTCCACAGCTCTGTTCTGTCAGAAAATCGTCCGAAAGAAGCCCATTTTCTTCTACAGTTGGCTTCATGCGTTTCAGCGCAATAATTAATATTGCGAAATGCGGTTTCTGCAAAATGCTCCACAGGCGACGCGGAAGGCATTTGTTAACCAGTGGAAAAGCCGTTAATTAAGACAGGGAAGTGCGGTTCGAGACGTGCGTTGTCAATTGTTGTGAACACAGCATTTGACGTTGAAATATGTGTGCTAGCGAGTTGTAATACGATCTTTCGTGTCAGCTCACGCAGTCGTTATTTCCATAATTCAATCAACACAGACAATTATTACTATTCAAACCGTCAATTTTGTTCATAATGTATTCAATTACATCCAAATTGTGTTTTGAAAAATGTTATAGAAAATTCTTATAGTTTGACAAGTCAAGAATTGTAGTATATATGAATATAAATAGACAATGAAGGTTAACTTACCACAAAAGAATCCAAACAAGAACGGCACTCACCTGAAAAAAATAACCAAATGATAGAGTAAATTCTAGAAGTTAGTGGTATATTAGAAAGAAAATACTATAGCATGAATTTGACATAATATCAAATATTTCACTTTCTAACACTCTCTTCGCTCAATTACGAGCAATATAATTCATGAAAATGACAAGATCGTAATAATGTATTGAAATGGAAAAGTTTATCGTTTGAAAATCATCTTGTAGAGAGTAGTAGATATTATTTGTAAAAAGAAATCTTGTGCATGTTCATGTCAAAGCGTACATATTTATATTTGAGCAATTGTATAGATATTTTATGGTTGAATAAGTTTATATTTTTTATTTGTTGCAGATTTAGCGGCCGACTTGCATACTCTATACTCAGCCTGTGGCTGACACGACTGAACTCAACATCATCTTGTTGTTTCATCTTTGTTGCATCTTCATGTTGACTAGTTTTACCTCCACTCGTTGCTTATTGCATCTCATCTGTTTTGTAATAAAATGTTGAATCTGTAACTTCTCTTTTTATTTTTTCCATAACAATCTGATTTTTCCCTCCTTTTCTACCTTGTAGAGTTAGATGCTCACAATCTGAGACACACAGATTACGAACATATCGAAGGAAGAGAGTAAACTAGCAGCCCAAAATTCTATAATACGTGTATGGGTAGAACAATCTGTGGTATATTTGCCACAAAGGCATGTTAGAATTACGAATTTACGAAAGATTTAAAATAATAGGAAATGTATTTCACAGAAAACAGAAAGTGGTGAAAATGGAGAAAGTATTACGATATTCCAAAATGGTCACGAGAAGAATGTTTCCTCTTTAATAAAAGCCATTTCATCTACTAGCCTAAGAAATAATTGTTACTGCTTGATTAAACGACATGTATAAAACATAACGATACATTGAAAAGTATTTACGAATACAATCAAAAACCTTTTGGTAATGAAATGAATATATTAGGCAAATTCTTTTTCAAGTCACAGATAAAGTGAATATGTTTCAAACTTCTCTGCTCAGTGGTGTATTTCGCTTATTATACTACTATGTATTTGATGTTACATTTTATGGTACAAGTTAAAATAGTTTAAAAAGGCATATATACAATAATAATTCCATAGCTCTTCCATGAATTCATTTATTTATGAAATGACGACGGTGATTGCACGGCTTGGCATACGCTATTAAAACGGCACTTATTTTTGAAATATGGAGAGACTGTAAAAAAATTATTGCAGGCGCCTCAAAATGAAAAGACAAAAAAATCAAAATCATTTAAAACTGGCACTCAAAAATCGTACTTAAAAAGTAGTTATACCATGTGTTAGTTTCTTCATTCTATATATTCAAGAGTATCAAATCACTTGTAATAGCAGCTTTTAGAACGTACAGCAAAAACGTAAAAACATTTCGAATATATTCAGTTTTCAGTTCTGAATATTTTGCATTTCCTGTCACATCGACAAAATAGGTTCCAAAAGTCATGCGCAAGTGAAACTTCGAATAATTATCTAAAAAAACATGTGTATAAAACTGTAAATTTAAAATAGTAAATAGATATCATGGGATTTGATCGAAATAAGTTGAAACATTAAAACATTGAATTTCAAGACGTTGTGGAATATTTGTATTTTGTCTTTATTTGTTCCATTACTTCAGTAAACACAGTGTTTGGCTTTTTTAACTCACTCCGACAAAATCCCTTTTTCTCTATTTGTAATTTCTTCTGCATGGTTATGAGTCTTCAATGGTTAGCTTTACTTTATATATATATAAAATTTAAATAGAAATACACATTGCGTTATTTAGTTTCAACCACTTCGTTTACATTGTTCCAATAGTTGTAAAATGAATCAAGTCTTAGGGTTTTGGGGTATTTTATTATTGTAGCTTTCTCTAAATAGAACAATAGAAATCACATATGATTGTATGTAATGATTTAATCGACTCTTGCCCCTTCGAGAATTTCTCCAAGTGACCAGTGCCCGGGGAGAACATCTCGAGGAATCTCGTTCTGCCGTGTCCACAACACTCAATTCTCTCTCCTGGAGTTGTCCTCACGAGAACTCTCTTTAGTTGCAAAAGAAGTACAGGGAGCTTTGATAGATGATTTTTTATCTTTGAATTAATGTGAATTCATTACCCACGCTTATTGGTTGTAAGGATTTTACAGATTACTATTTAAATATTATTTTAGATTTTTTATCAAACGAAACTTGATGTCACATACACTTATTTGCTGTTTTTATCATATACGTAATGACCATGAAACAAGGTTTAGTATTAGTTCAGTCTGAAATATTTGCGGCTTCTGTTTTTTAATCAAAAAGTTATTTTTGTGTTCGCAAAAAAACAGAAATGTTTATTTGTGTTTATTTTATTGATATTATAATTTGACTCGATTCACGCCACGTCATTGTACATCCCTACATGAGATCAGCTATTGGGGCGAACGGCGAACGCTAGATGTGTGCAGGGCCGACCAACAACCTCCTTGGCTTCTCTCAGTGCTCTGTTTCTCTAAATTTCT